AGTCCTATTATTGACCATGAAAGTTCCTCATCAGTTGCCTGAAATTGGGTTACATATAATAATGGGTCTCATGCATTATCTAATGGGCAAATCCCAATTGAAGAAAGAACAAAAGCAGATTAACCCACTAACTCAAAAGCAAAGACAACCATTCACCTCTTATCAAGAAGCTAAAGCAAGGGTAATTAATGATCATTAACTTCATAAGCCAAATAGGTTTTCCATCAATACATGCATACATAAAAAAGAAATTTGTGAAACTCTAAACATGTCAGTATTTACTTAAACACATTTGGTACTTCAGTTATATTTTTTGCGCTGAACTTGAGCATACCAGTAAGAGAGCAATCAATATCAGCACAATCGGCCAGCCTGGGGCTGCCCATGTTGGGTGCTTCCATTCCAACTTCATTGCAGAAGTTCCAAGCTTCCAATGCAACTCTCACATTTGGGTTCTTCATTCCTGGGTCTCCTATTGCTGATATGTACTTCTCTGAGACAGTGCTTACAAGATCACCCAAATTCAAGGCAAATAGTTGACAAACAAGAACACAAACAACAACCGAAGCTGAGTTGAGAAAACCCATTTTTTGTAACTGTAAGGAAGAACTGTATCATGTGGTATGTAAAAATCTCACTTTGTTGCGTTGGCGAAGAAAACAGAGAGAGAGAGAGAGAGAGCTTTTGCTTTGAAGCAAAGTTGCTGACGCTTGCAGTGTTGGTAGTTTTCACAGGGACATGTGAAAACTTAGGCCCACTTGAAACCCAACACATAAATTTAGGCCCACTTGAAAGCTAACAAACAAGAATGGGCTTCTACTGCAGGACGATCAAGCATACGAGGTGTTCTTACAAATTTCATGGAGGGATTCAAACGCAAAACCTCGAATTGGATATAAGAATAATTATTTTTAGGGGTAACGCTAGGGTTATCATATTGTGTACCACCTCTTTATAATAGTATTTTCTTTCAAATATGATTATTGATAATTGGTGATTATCATTTGATTTACGTGCATCTGAAAGGTGAATGGTGAAAAGAGAGATTATTTGATAAATGGGAATCACATGTTAGTGGTGGAGAAATTATGGAATTCTTGGGCTGAGAAAGTAATTATGAAAAAGAAGGTATTGAGAAAGATCTTTTGTGTAGTTGAGTCTAAACTGGATTATGTTTCCTCATAAAATTGCCATTGTGATTATTTCATTGTATATAGGTCAAATTAAGTTTGTATATTTATTTGATCGTAGTTAAATGATTAACCGATCCTTAAATTGATGAAACAAAGAATGAACGGTTCGAATTATGAGATGACTAGTTAACACCATATAAACATACTGGACCAAGGTTTTTTTTTTTTTTTAAGGCAAAAAAAAAACTAATTGGACGAGAGTTCAAATTGACTCTATTAATGTTGCATCTCTATATAATGAAAATAATCCGCATAAAAAAAATATATAGTGAAAATAAAAGCTTTGTTTTGTGATCTATCTCTTCTCTTTTTCTTTTTTTTTAAACGGATCTCTCTCTCTCCTCTTTTAACGGGTCGTTTTTGTGATCTTTTAAACTTTGCGGGTGGAAGGATAATTTTTGTTTGTAAATAGGAGCTTTGTTTGGTGAGGCCATCTGATTAAAAAAGAGGTAATAATTATGTATAAAAAGAATCTCTTATGGGTGTGTTACAACGTTTTCTAAAAGAATCTCTATTTTATAATCTCTTGTAGCTGGATCCGCCCATGGAACAAGATAGAACAGGACTATGATATTTGATTTGACATATATGGATTATCATTAATATTAAATGAGTTTGTCGATGCAAAGCAAAGTTAAGTGGATGATAATGAATATTTGGTTTCTATGTACCATCAGCTTTAAACATTGAATTTTTTTCTCTTATAGAGAAAATTTATGCATGATAAAATTAATATGATTTTTTTTTCTTCTACAAACGATATTTGACTTTAATCTCTTATAGAGAAAATATACATTTAAACTATGCATGTATAATATATGTATATATATATATATTATATATATATACATGTATATAATATTTACATATATATTCATACATTATTTTTATAATATGTACATATGTATATTATAATAATAATATACGTCTATATATGTATATTATACATATTTATTTATTTATTTAAAACGTATAGCCAATCGGCTATACTGCTTTTTTTATTTTATTTTATATAATTTATAGTATAGCCGATTGGCTATACTATTTTATATAAAAATAAAAAAAAAGCCGCCTATGCGCTGGGCGGTTCCTTTTTTTATAATAAATAGTATAGCCGCACGGCTATACGTTTAAAATGTATATCTATATATTATAGCCGCTCGGCTATACGGGTCGTGTCCAAAAAACTAGATAGTATAGCCGAGCGGCTATACGGTTTAAATATAATATATCTGCATTGTATAGCCGCGCGGCGATACTGGGCCTTTTTAAAAAAAATTAATAAATAGTATAGCCGACCGGCTATAATATTTATTAATTTTTTTAATTTTTCATATCTGTTCTGAAGTTCCATCCTTTACATTGGCGAACATTGTTTTGTAGATGTCACTCCTCCTGAAAAAGTGCGTTTGAATAATAAATGCAATAGAAATGTAAGACTGTACGGTTATTTGCGGGCTGTAACATGAAAAAAGGAACAAATGTACGTGCTTGACTTATAGAGCTCTTGGCTTATTTAAATAAATAAAAGTTCCAAATTTTTCGTTTATAGATAAGAATAATTTAAAGTATTATCCATTATTATTTGGTCATTACCCGAGTCTCTATTATCTCCTTTTGATTTTTTATTGTTTCAGAGTTATTACCCGTAAAAAAGAATTTAACATTTTCCTATTTAAATCTCATATTATAAACGTATGTATGTATTTTTTTTTTATCATTTTTGAATTCCTCAGTTTTAAATTTCATCATGCAAATACAAGTAAAGGTAGGTACAAATAGTTTTCAATTTCAAGTTTTTGTTTTACACATTCTCCTTCATTTCTCCCTTGCTCCCACACATTTCCCCTATATATAACTAACAAGAAAAATAAAAAAATAAAAAAAACGAAAGTGTTACCAAACTAGTTTTGACATAACCACCTAGGTCCAATAGGAGCCCATAATACCAATCCAAATCATGCATCGATATTGTACCTTAACCACCTAGGTCTAATACCTTAGATGCAGGGGCGTAGCTAGGATTCAAATAAATGGGGAGCCAAGGCCACGACAGACCTTGATGTAGCTCTGTCCCTACTTGGGTGGGATATGCCCGATGAACCTCTAGGTGTGAGGTTTTAATTTAAAAGGCATTGGGGTAATTAGTAGTAGACCACTTGTATTTGAATTTTAGTTTATTGTTGTATTTTCCGATACGAGACTTACATGTCATAACTTTTATCAAGCCACCTACACCAACAAACGGAAGTGTTATGGAGCTTTTCCTCAACTTCATCTTCCTTAGCCTCTTCTCATTTTGGTCTCTAGCTATTTTTGTCTTCAATTTAAAAAAAGCCTAATAATACAAACAGATTACAAAACCCGTCCGTACATATGAGGTCTTTAAGGTTTCACTTGTTATTTGTTTGAATGGGCCAAAATGATGATGGAATCTCGTTGGTTCATATGTATGGCACAAAAGTTAATATTATATAGATATTTGGAACTGTGGCATTTTTTTTCATATTTCTTTTTGCCTAGAGTATTAGGCTTTAACTTTTGAAAGCTAAGTGGCTAAGTGAGTGTTGGCAAAAGATTTTCGGAATCAAGCTTTTACACTGCAAAAGAACTATAGGCATCCACGTGGAGTCTGTTTAAGCCACTTCATGTAGACTGCGACCGTCGATGTCGAAGAGATCTCTTTAATGAATTGTATTGAACGTGTAGGATTTGACAAGATTCTTGGCTTCAAAGTTAAGATGAAGATTAATAATAATAACCAAATTCTCACAAGATTTAATAAGGGTTTTAGGGAGACAGTGGAGAAGGCTAACCTGACTTTTGGTAGTTTTTATTTTTATTTTTATTTTTAAATAAAAGGTTTTGAAGAGAAAAGGCAAACTTTTTAATAAGCTTGGAAAGCTTAAAGCATGCTAGGGTTTGGTCACAGAAACAAAGGGCAATGCGTGAAGGGAAGGCCAAGGGGAAGGGGGGGACAAATAAAAAGTTAAAAAGCTAAAACTAAAGCAACCCAACATGGGCAGCTCATTGGTTCATTAAGAAACATGATGGGCTGCACATGAAAAAAAAAAACAAAAAGCATCCAAATTGCATGCTGACTAGATCTCAACTGTCCCACACACAAGTATACTTTTCCTTCACCTGAGAGTGTTGAATGGTCACTGAGGATTCTTAATCCAGTGGGAGGGCCATGCTCTTTTGTTGACCTACTCATGAGATCAGGTGACTTTAATATACTAAGGCAATAAAAGTACTATTTGTAAAGCATTTCTAATAGAGGTCACACTCACTAATGTGTAACTAATACAACAATCCAATATATTCTCTTTTTACAAAATTCATAAAGACGATACAACAATCCAATATATTCTCTCTTTATAAAATTCATAAAGACGAGTGAGATTGATAAGGATTAGTTTGGACTTAACTCCAATCTAGTCAAGCTGAGTAATCAAATCAGTAGCTTTACGCTTGGTAGATAAATAGAGAGAAAGAGGCTTGGTTTGAGCCTGATTTATAGTTTGTTGTTACAAGAAAAAATGACCAAATTAACCTTGGTAGAGAATGTGCGGGTAATGTGATTAGTGGAATTGAAATTCTGTTGAAGATAGAGAGCAGGATAGAATAAAGAGACCTAATTTTATGTGAGAGGTTAAACTAATTAATTGTTAAACAAAGCTTAGTGATTTGTAAAGGTAGGTGCCGCCATATTCTTAATTATGGGGTGGAGAGGATAGAAGAGAATCCACGTGAGGTATATAAGGCACTAAGCCCTCCATACTTAGAGGCAAACCGTCAGCTCTAAGTTCCCAATTAGAGGAGGGTCTGCAACAACCTCGAAGCTAGTTCAAACTAGTGGGAGGTTGTCTGCATTAAAGCAGCTTACAAAATTAAACCGTTCTCCATACTCATAAATTAGATCGAAAAGAGTACGTATTGAGGTCGAGTATTGAATTCAACATGGCTCGTGGAAAGGTTCAGATGAAGAAGATAGAGAATCCGGTGCACAGGCAGGTTACCTTCTGCAAGCGCCGGGCGGGGCTGCTGAAGAAGGCTAAGGAGCTCTCTGTGCTGTGTGATGCTGATATTGGAATTCTCATTTTCTCCTCCCATGGAAAGCTCTTTGAACTCGCCACCAAAGGGTCTCTAGCTCTCTCTGTTTGTGTATAATGTGTATATATATGTATGTATAACATGCCATGTATTGTTAATTATACATCAAATAGGTACACTAGTCGTGACTTTGAAACTGCATGTTCAGTGTATAAATACATAATTAGATATAAATAAAGGAAATATTTGTATAGAAATGTTAATTATTCTCGTTGACTTGCTTTGTTATTTATTGTGCTAGAAACATGCAAGGGCTTATTGAGAGGTACATGAAGATGAAGCCACCCCGAGTGTCTCAGGCTGATCAAGCCATAGAAACGCAAACTCTGGTACGATCATATCTTATCACTTCACACTCTCTTTTTCCGTCATTTATTTCTCTACTGTTATATATATATATATATATATATATATATATATATATGTGCGTCACACTAAATAATTTCTCGTGCTATATACATAGCTGCAAGCACACAAACAAAGCACACACATATATACGTGTTGCATTGTGGTATAAAACGAATATTATTCCCGCATCCATATTATTATTGGTGAAGATAGTGCAGCATCAGATGCTGGATATAAAATAATTCTTACAAGAATAACAATATTAATTGAATAAAGGAAGAAAATAACACACGGATGCAGAATAATGTTTCTCATATCACAACTTTCTGGAAGGCCAAAGAATATTGTGACACCTTATTACAGGAATCTATTGTAGAGCTATTGATGTCTGTCGGATCATATCTCTGACTGACCCGTCAATAAGACTTATAAGATGGTGCATGCTTCTCTTAGATGGTTGTTGCTTACGATTTAAGTATTATGCTACTTTTGACTTATTTCTTCATAATTTTTTGGAGGGAACCATTAATCTAAATTATAAAACTAGTCTTTGGTTTAGTGGTATTTTGTCTCTGTTTAGTTGGTCAACTCATATGAATGATGATGACGATATTATATTTATGATAAGTTAAATACTTAGTTGTGATTAACCCCATGTAATGTGTGTATTGGCCCGTTGTAAAATATCATGTTGTTTATCTATGATGAATACATACACAACCCAACAAATATAATGAATCACACACCACACATATAAAACAAAAACCAACAAAGAACATAAATTTTATAGAGGTTTCTCGAAGTGCCCGCATCCTCTTTTGGTGATTTCTAGAGAAATTTCATTAGAAGAAAAAAAAAAAAAAAAAAAAAAAAAAAAAAAAAACTTTTTTACACAACTTTGCTTACGGTCAACCCCCTTGTGTTTGTACAACAACCCTTAGCTCTCAATCTCTTTCTCACCCTTGTTCAACCTAGGTTACAACTTCACTCGAATTAGGACCCAATATCCTACTTATGTTTCTATATTGTCGTAATTTTAAAATTTCTAACTTTTTAAGTATGGTTAAATGAAGAAATCACCCTTTAAAATATCTGACAAGTATATCATGCGATTACAGTCTTAAACGTAGATGGTACATTAACACTAAAAGTAAAGTTTAGGAGACAAAATGTATTAAAAAAAAATTCATTCGATGGCAAAAGCACATAGTATTCATCAACTTACATGCATGTGCATCTTACATTATGTTCGTATACGACTGTTGTTGATTTTTATGTACGAAAATTTCTTATCTCTACGCATATTAAGAGAAGTGAAACAGCAGATTATTTGTGTGGCTGCACAAATATGTAAATAATTTGTTTTTGAATCTAACATAAATTTCCACGTTTTGTTTTCATTGGTATAGGATGCAAAAAAAGAGATTAACCTGCTGAAACAGGAGATTGAAATACTGCAAAAAGGTCTCAGGTATTACAAAACAACCTCATAATGTCTTATAGGATGCATGACTTGTCTTTACATGTGAGAATTTCCATGTTCTAAAAATTGTATAGAAAAATCATTCAAATCAAATGTCCAAATTCTAAATATTAATAGTCAACGGGGTCTAATCCAACGAAAAAGAGTCTTGATTTGTAGACTGGTGGTCATGTTCGAATCTCTATGGCACATCGGTAGTTGTGTGTGTGAGAAACCCCCTTCCCTTTATAATTGAGACTATCACTTGTATTCAAAACAAATAATAATAATAAGATATAGATGATGAGACACTGATTTTATCATGTACCACTTTGATTTGTTGAAGCAATGAAAAAACCTAATGTCAAAATATATATATATATATATATATATATGTGAACCCAATTTGGTCTTTTTTTTCTCTTCTAGTAGCTATAGAAATTTGGACATGATTACATAGGATCCATATTAATGATCCCATCTCATGTAAGAGATTTGAAATACTAATTAGGAACAAAATTCAACAATGTTTGGATCCTTACTTTTCATGGTCCTTTAATCCAATGATTGTATTTACATCATTGCATGTATCTTTTTTTAAGGTCCAAGTATAATTATTTGTTATCAAATAGCTATTAGTTTAGTGATATTTCTCTTATTTATTTGACTATATTATATGTGTGCGGGAGATCAAGAGCTAGCTGTGGCCCTCCACCTTCTCCCTACTTAGCACCCAATAAAGAAACCCTCCCAATGTAACCAAAAAAAATATATTTTAAATTGGTAAAGAAAACTTTTAGAAATGGAATATTAAATGCAGTAGTTATCAATTACATATGACAACATTACAGGTACATGTTTGGAGGGGGTGCTGGGACAATGACCTTGGATGAACTACAAGTGCTTGAAAAACATCTTGAAGTATGGATTTATCACGTACGCTCGGCAAAGGTATAATTTTTATAATTCCATCAATTACATTCATTATAGTTCATTTTATATAAGAGCTCGTTTGGGAATGATTCTGGATATGCCAAAATCATTTGTGGGGAGAATCACCTCCCATTTGCTTCTCCATATAATCACTTTAAGTGATTATGAGCATAAGCACCTCCTAAAGAAGTAATTTTCCGTAAAAGTACGTTTTGACCTATTCAGAATCATTCCCAAAACGAGCTTAACTTAAATTGAAAACTAAGTGGTTAAACAATTACAGATGGACGTTTTGTTCCAAGAGATCCAACTGTTAAGGAATTCGGTAAGTTTGCATTCCAGCATATCTAATTAATTTATTTTAGTATGGAATCAAATAGTATGTATTATTGTCATATTGGAGATATTAGTGCAAATAGTCACACATATATAGGGTAGTTTTTTTTTGTTATTCTTTTTTCGAAACTTGGGTGTGTGAGCTTTTCTAGTAGTGATTCGTCTAGCCAATTTGGCTAAGACCATATCTACTATAAGGTAATTTTCTTAGCAATACAGATTAAATTTAAATTAAACATATAGTATAGATTACATAGTTTTTATATATTTTAGAATGTATAGACTACATAGTTAAATAATATAGTAGAGTTATTATTTTATATAGTTTTCTGAAAAAAATTAAATTCATGTTTTGAAGGAAGGAATACTGACAGCTGCAAATAAGCATCTACAAGACAAGGTAATCAATTTTTTTTTTTCCTTTTTATGAAGATTATTTTCGGTAAAGATATATTGAATTATAGTTTTCAGCTTACTAATCTTAAATATATTGGATATATTTTCATGTAGATTATTGAAGAGAACATCGGAGTTACTAACATTACACCAATGGCCTCTGACAATCCATATCCACTAACCATACCAGATGATGACATATTTCAAATTTAAGAATTTGTATTAGCAATGATGTAGTACTCATATTTGCAGGCGTGGTGCAGATAACAAAAACTTTTATAAACAAGATTGTACTGATTAATAATCATCTAGCTAGCTAGGTTGCTTATGATATCAAATGTATGTCAATATTGTAGTATTCTATACTATAGTGTTGTTATTGCAATAAACTTGTATTGTAACTTAAATGATAAGAAGGATATTATGGTGTGGTATGTTATTGAATTATCTTGTTCCCTTTATATATTGAATTTTAGTAATTGAAATTCTTTGAATGTTCGTTCAAACCTAATCAAGGCACCGTCTGATAAACATTTCCTTTTCACTTTTTTTGAAACTAAAACAATATCTATAAACAATTTTCGTTTTTTGGTTCTCAAACAAATATGGGTGATTAAAATTTTGTAACATGCACTTTTAAATTCCACATAAATAAGTGTTACTTTAAAGTTCCATCATAATTGAAAATAAGTCAAAATTGAAATTATGATATATCTTGAGCAAGCGGACTTATTTGTTACCCCTCTACCACCATTCAATGACTATTAGACTCATGCACATGACACTAAGGCCCGAATGGATGTTGCTGTGGTCCCGACCCTGCACCAATGGACTACGAACTTGACCTATTACCCACGAACCTACCCTTCTAACAATCAAACCCACCCTTAGAGCACTTCCAGCAATTTGCCATTTGCCATGGCAAAAAAAAAAGGGGGGGGGGGGTAGGGCAGCTACTATTCACATGAATAGTAGCTGCCTTTGCAAAACCTTGTAGTGTTTCCACCAATTGCCATAACAACAACTATTCACATGAGATATGAGGTGAGAAATTTGTATAGAGTTTTGGTGTGGGAAGTGAAAACTATGACTAAGTATTTATTTATAAAATAATCTGATTTTTTTTTTGTATTTTTTAAAGATTTTTTATAAAAAAAATTTGTTGCTGACGTCAGCAAACCCTGGCTTGAACTAGGGCCAAGTCAAGCCTTAGCTGCTGGAAGTGCTCTTAGGGGTGGAGTTAGAATTGTAAAGTTGGGAGGCCGAAGTAGAAAATACAAGTATATAAAACACCTAAGTATTCAATAATTATATATTTAGAGCTAAATATTTTATAATTGAGTCATGTCTAATTGGGCACTCCAAGTCTAGGAGTGGCTCTGCCACTGCCCGCCTCCTTAACTAGGGGCCCAAACGAGTCACTTCTTGGCTCGACATGCTAACCCCATGATCTGACCTAGTGACTTGACCGATCCTTGACATGGAGACCCCTGAGTCTGACACAGTGACACTCAAACCCAACAAGTAACTTACAATCCAACTCTATGATTACCGAAGCTAACCCGAGACTCAAAATTCTTTTAATATGTTTTTTAAATAAACAAATAACTCACAATTAGCAAACAAGTTTCAAATCAAAGTTCCCCATTGCCTGTTTTGGACTACATCCTCATTTTTCTCCCATAACCCTCTCTCTAACAATTATCATCTTCTCTAAATTTAGTTCAACCTCGTATTTGAAGGGGTTTTATGTAATCTACCCAATTATTTTTTGCCATAATTGTTGGATTGATATATTTGTTTGCCTTTGTGCACAGTTAGATCCCTAGAGACTATGATTTTCCAAGAGATTGATTGTTGAAAATATTAATTGCCCATGTTTCTCCCTCCTCCAAAATCGAATAATCCGCTTCGACCAACTCCTCATTAGCCGAAGATTTTTCCAAGTTACCCCAATGCCTAAATATGGGTGGGCTCCTAAAATATGAAAACTTTATGTCCCTTCCTCTTCCATATAATTATGATGATATTCTAACATTTGTCCCCTATTATCTTCACTAGGCAAACAAAGATCGTCCTCCTCCATTGCCTTCATCCCAACTCCATCGGACCCCTCTTCATCCTGCGACCCTCCCTCATCTGAGATTGAAGCCGAATCTCTTAGGATGATGCCCTGATTTCAACGTGTTGACATTTTCGATGCACTCTCATCGTTTTTCATAGCAAAATTCTAGAGGCAAAAAGTCACTCTTGGTCCATGTGGTTTATCACTTTTATCACTAAGGTTTATGTGGTTTCAATTTGGTCACTTTGTCCATGTGGTTTACAATTCCAATCAATTCGAGGACATTGCTCAATTTCAGTCAAATTCACTTCACTGCTGTTGGTACTGTAGCATGTAAGGGGCACATAGATGGGCATTATAGTCAAATATTGCTACCTTAGATATAAGTGAAGCTGGGCTCGTCTTCTTCGTTGAAATTAGGCAACTTTGGGGGAATTTGGGGCTTAGGGTTCATAAACCTTTACTTGCTAAAGCCTTCCCTTTCCCAACTAGAAGTGACCAAAGGCCACAATCTGACAAAACCACAAAACACCAGCACGGACACATCTAGACAACCGAATAAACAAAGCATTGAAAACCCAAACACGTAAACCATTGAAAGCCCTTCAACCATATTGAAACTGATTTACCCAAACCAGACACTTAAACAAAGCATTGAAAACTCAAATACTTAAACAATTGAAGGCCCCGAACCCAAACACTTTCTTATGTGGTTTGTTCAAGCTTGCACTGCTTGCCTTTCAACAACAGGTGTAAAAGTGACCAAATTAAAACCACAAGAACTTTAATGATAAGAGTAATAGGGAGCTTCTACAATGAGGAGTTAAAGTGAGGAGACCGATCCAATCGTCAAAACATTTAAAATATTTAAGTCCCATGATTTCTTTACATTTATTGATGGTGAGATTTGACCTCCTCAAATAACCTCCTCACTTTAAGCTCTCATTATTAGGGGTGGGCACGGTACGGTACGGTACGGTATTG